ATACCTCACGGTAGCTTGCCAGGCTTTGCTGTGCCAGCGAGATACTCTCGGTAGCTTGCCAAGTTCTCCGAAAGGGGCGGAGGAATCAAACCCGGGTCGGCCAGGTCAGCCACGTGCAAGGCAAACGCCCTACCCACTGTGATATCACTCCAGCCCATAAATAATAGTACATATCCCTAAAATTAGCCACAGATTTAGCATGTTACTCTTTTTTTCAGGTTTTTTTTTATTAAAAAAATTTTTAATAGTGAGACATCATGAGGTACAGTTGCAGACTTACACATTTTTGTGCTTGGGTTTCAATTATACAATGATCAAATACCCATCCCTCCACCAGCGCCCATTTCCCACCACCACGGATCCCAATATCCCTCCCACACCCATCCCCCCCATCCCACCCTGCCTCTGTGGCAGGGCATTCCCTTTTGTTCTCTCTCTCTCATTGGGTATTGTGGTTTGCAAAAGAGGCAATGGGTGACAATCATATTTAGTCTATAGTCTACTTTCCACATTAGCATGTTACCCTTAATGTTGATCATGGTATGTATTCAAGTTTCTAGTCATGAAAAATTCATACTATTTTATGTGTTCACAATTTTACATAAATTTTACATCTGCTGTGTAACCTGTATGTGTTGTGGACCAGTTATCCCCAACATGCCCAAACACATTGGCACCAGGCCAGGCAGGAGCCTGGCCGTGGGGCAAAGGAGGATGAGCATGCTGAGAAACCCCTCCAGGAGCAGTTGATCACAGCTCACTTTTTTGCCAAATACACATATTTTATAGAGGGTCTTCTCTTACAGGAGGTCCACTCACATAAAGCTTTACACTATTGGCCTACCAATTTTTCCTCTCTTCTTGGCCCCCCGTCCAATCCCTTTCAAGGATATATGTTGCAGTTAGAATGACTTGCTTAAGGCATATGTCATGGTTTCTGCGTTTCAGGCATAAGGGATCAAGTGAGGCTCAAGGCCAGACACATGATGCAGGCGCCCAGTTTTGCTAACTCTGCCCAGTTACTCCCTCTTTCAGGGTTTCACTTCAGGGCCATTTTGCGAGGTTGAGTTTTTCCTGCTCCAGTGCCTGTTGCCCTGCTCCACATATATGAATAAATAACCCACCATTTCTTACCCATTGCACAATTTCTTATCAATTACAGTTTTAGTCAGAGAATGGTGAATGCTGAAAGTTCCTATATTTCTTGTACTAATATATAGAACATGCAGGCTGGAGCAATAGCACAGCGGGTAGGGCATTTGCCTTGCAGGCAGCCAGACCCAGGTTCGATTCCTCCACCCTTCTCGGAGAACCCGGCAAGCTACCGAGAGTATCGCACCGCATGGCAGAGCCTGGCAAGTTCCCTGTGACATATTTGATATGCCAAACACAGTAACAACAAGTCTCACAATGGAGATTGTTGCTGGTGCCCGCTGGGGCAAATGATGAACAATGGGAAGACAGTGTTACAGTGCTACAATATAGAACATATATTTCTCTAGCACAGTTTGCTAAAATGAAATGTACAAGTACTTGGTGAGTACTTCAGTGGCTTGAGAAATTGACAAGAAACACTCTAAGACAGTTGCACCAGTTTACCTTTTTAAAAAGTAATTTACCTTTCTACTAATGTGTATAACATGCATGTAACATTTAATCATGTTAATAAGTGCTAGGTTATCAAAGTAAGTTTTGTCAAGTAAAAATTGACTAATGGTGTTTTATGTGCATTTGACTGACAATTATGAAGATGAACATTTGCTGTATTCATTGGCTGTTTTTCTGTCTTGCTCAGTAAATTTCCTTTATTTGGGACAATCCAACAACAGTTTTCTTTTGTTTCATTTTTTGGGAGGGTGTTTGTTTTTAAGACAGTTAGACCACTTTAATGTTTTGTGCAATATCATATGCTTTTTTTCTCGATGACTGCAGATATGTTAATGGTGGCTTCCCTGACTAGTATATAGTTTTCCATAGGTATAAGAAGTTACTTGAATAAGCTGATGTCAAACCAGTAAGACTGCATTGATGCATCCATCATTTTCAGGATTGCTGGTTTCCTAGACATATTTTACCCAAATAACTTTGCCTCCCTGTGTGTCAAGGCCCAAATGTCACATTCACCTCGGTGATTAGTAGCTTTGGTGATAACACCCAAAGTAGTGTAAAGTGGAGATGAGAGATTCTTCTTGACACCAAGTATTAACAGTCAAAAAATACCTCTCAGGAGCAGGATATTTTTTTTTAACGTAGGAGTATTGCTATTTATTCAGCCATTGGTTAGGCTGATTGAATTGGGCATGAACTCCACCTTACTTTTTTTTTTCCCCCTTTTTTATAATTTTATTTATTGAATCACCATGAGAGCAGTTACAAAGCTTTGGGGTTTAAGTCTCGATCATACAATGGAACACCCATCCCTTCACTAGTTCCCATTCTCCACCACCAAAAACCCCAGTATACCCCCCATCCCACACCCTCCTCCTAGCTGTGGGGCAGAAGATTTCCACATTACTCTCTCTCTACTTTGATTACATTCAATATTTCAACACCAGACCCACCATTATTATTTGGGATTTTACCCCAACACTCAGATCTGCAAAAAGGCAACAGTAGACAATTTGTTTTCTATTGTTGGTTATGAATAACATGTCATGTCACGCGGCCACAGTAGTGGCCGTGAGATTTTTGGAATTCCAAAATTTTAACAGTTAAATACGGAGGGATTTCTGCCAAAACCTGCTGGGTTCCGAGATTTTTTCCTGAGTCTCTTGGATCATGGCCGTTAAGCAGCTTGATCAGGAGCCAGAGAGGCCATTCGTGGGTGACGACTCAGAAAAAGGGGAGGAAAGGGCCAGCTCCAACCCCATCCCGTGAGGCCCCGTGTGTCTCATCACTGCAGGCCCAATCCATCAGGTCAGGATTTTTTTCTGAAACATAAACCATTGGTCTAATGAACCTTTCATATTTAGGTGGTTTTCATGTAAAGCCGTGTCCAACAAAGCAGTAACCATCCTCTTCCATGCTTTCTTCTTTCTCTTTCCTGTTTGAATAACTTTTAATACTTCTGTTTCTCCCTGGGCACGAACTTTGGGCACAGGAACTTCCCATTCTGCTTTCTCTCTCTGTTTTTGTTTAATCATATTGGAAAGTACTTTAGCTCAGGATTGTTTCTCTCTCACTGTCCAGCAGATACTCCGGCATTGCTCCTTGTGGAGTCATACTTGTGGTTGGTGTTTCTCTTTTATGCATCTTAAAAGTCTTTTTTATTTGTGTTTTCTCAGCATGACACTGTTTATGGTAGAGCTTAGCCTTCAAGCCAGTCATCTTTTTTGCTTTTTTTTTTTTTCCTTGAACATTCATGAGCCTCTCAATCTTCTTTCTTTCTCTTCCTCTCATGATAATCCAAATGATGTCCATAGTGCTTATGTAGTAACTCAGTATGTTCATTTTGTGGCATGGTAACAGCTTCAGGGCCACCTGGTGCAGCCACCCCAACATCAAGAAGCTCTGGACTTTGCAGATCTCTAGGCACCCACAAGCAACTTGCACAATAGTAACAGATTGAAAGTGCGCCCTTTTTCCTTAGAGTTCTGCAAAAAATTGTTTCATTTTGATATTTAAAGGGATCCATATCTTTTTCTTTGATAGGTGTTTTTGAGCTTGCAGGAATCCTTCATCCCAGTGTCACAAAGTTGATGTTTTCTATAAACATTTTTTTTTAAACTTTTTCCATGGTGATTCTTTACAGCATTTGGAATCTTTCAGGAGCAGATACTGGTGTTTTTTTTTTTTTCATTTGTTAGCCAATGGTATTCAGGCAACTTTTTATTGAATCCTTTTCCCGTTCACAACTAACCCCCTTTTTCTCACACCACCTGTCTTATACCATACACTCATCTTCCCACGGATTTGTTTGTGTTATACTACGACCACCTTGCCTTGATTTATAATGAGCTTGTTAATAAGTTGTTGTCTTTGTTTCCTTCAAAATGAGGGTCTTCTTTGACATTTATTCTTTCATATAAAACAACTTGCTAAATTATGAGGGGTTGTGGTTGGACTACTTAGGCATTTTGATTGAAATAGTATAGAATTTATAGATAAATTTTTGGAGGACATATGCACTGTAGCCAAACTTCCTGTGATACATTTCTATAACTAGTGTTTCGTTTTTTGTCTTACACTTCATCATTTTCTCCGTTGGGGTAATATATATATCCCAATGGAGAAAATGTATATATAAATTATATTTATGTGTATGTATATGTAAATATATATATATATACACACACGTTAAGGTTTATATATTTTATAAGGTATTTTACGGTGTTTTTCATTTTAAGCATCATTATTGAATTATCTAGTTCTATTAGTTGGTCTATTAAATGTCTTATGTTTTCAGTGTAGCTATTTAGGTCAGATTTCTTATTTACTTTTTTTTATATACCTTGTAAAATGTTGGTAAGGGGCCAGAGAAATAGTTCAGGCTTAGGCTCTTTCTTGCAGGCTACTGACCCCAATGTAATGCCTGCCACCACATATAGTTCCTTAGGCACCACCAAGAGAAACCCCTGACTACAGTCAGGAATAACCATACTGTTGGGTATGGTCTCAAAAATGATAAAATAAAGCAAAGTAGCACTAAATGGGAGCTGTGATCTTCTCTAGTATCAATAGAGGATACATCAAATGATAACATTTAAATGTAATAATACTGTATTAGTTTTCTGAAGATACCTCTTCCTTGCATTCTTAAAGGCTTTCGGGGGTTTGGGGGAACATATCCCTTAGGTGGTGCTAAGGACTTAGGTCTGGCTCTGTGCTCAAGGATCACTCCTGGTGGTGCACAGGAGATCTCTCATATGTGGTGCCAAGAATCAAACCAGCGTGGCCATCTGCAAGGCAAGTGCCTGAACTGCTCTCCAATCCCAAGAGGATTTTTGGCTTTTTCTTTTAAAGAGATACTGTTGTCTTATCAAATTCTTTTCATTTAATAGGGTGATCAGCATCTGACCAATAAGAAAGATCGCTGGACAGAATAAAAGAAAGAGCTTTCCTGAATCAAGAATGATGGATCCTTGTTCAGTGGGAGTCCAGCTTCGTACCACAAATGAGTGCCATAAGACCTACTATACTCGCCACACTGGTTTTAAGACTCTGCAGGAATTGTCATCAAATGACATGCTTTTACTTCAACTTAGAACAGGAATGACACTTTCTGGAAACAATACAATCTGCTTTCATCATGCAAAGATTTACATTGACAGATTTGAAGATTTGCAGAAGTCATGTTGTGACCCTTTTAACATTCATAAAAAATTAGCGAAAAAAAATTTACATGTGATTGACTTAGATGATGCTACTTTTCTGAGTGCAAAATTTGGAAGGCAGCTTGTTCCTGGTTGGAAGCTTTGTCCAAAATGTACCCAGATCATCAACGGAAGTGTGGATGTAGAGTCCGAAGACCGGCAGAGAAGGAAACCTGACTCAGATGTATGTACAATAGGAATTGTTCTTCTATATTATTTATATAGTGAGGGGGTTTTGTTTATAAGGAAATCTTATGATGAGCACAATCCATTAAAAAGTGTGGAAATAACGTGGCTTTTCTAAATATTTCCTTATCCTTGGATTAGATGTTAAAGTAAGCCTGGACAATTGATAATGTTAGGTTTTACCCCTCATATGTAGACTAAACTTATATTCTTTCAGAACCTAACTATCTTAGTTTCTTTTCTGATTACAAAGGAACAAGAAAGGGTCCATATGACAGGAAAATTTCCTGTTTATGAAGAACTTTGGCATTATCCCATTCTTTGGGTTGTTAAGATACTTGTGAGATTTCTTTGCTTCTGGCTTTGAATTCTCACTTGATATATGGTCATGGCTAGTTTTAAGACTTCCTAATGTCAGAAAGTGTACGTTCTTACATTGTGAAGTATTAAATAACACATGGCTATCTCCTTTAGTTACATCCCTACTTTCAGTTATTTAACTATTTTAGAATAACAGGATTTCATAAACCTTTCTTTGATACAGAAGGATATGGAGGGGCCAGAGCAGCAGTACAGTGGGTAAGGTACGTGCCTTCCACGCTGCCAACCCAGGTTCGATTCCCAGAACCCCATAGGGTCCTCTGAGCCCCCCATGAGTAACCCATCCCCTCCCCAATCACACCTCGCTGTGCTCAGAAGCTCTTCCTGTCTCTGCTTGGGATCGCTCCCAGCAGTGCTCAAGTGATCATGCAGTGCAGCCTCCCTCATACAGCACATTTGCTCAGCCTTTGAACAGTCTCTCTGGCCTTTCTCTGGTTTTAACAAAAGCAGTCATGCACCAGAGAGATAGTTCAGGGGGCACTTGGAAATGGGCAACCCTCGGTTCAATCCCTGAGGTTTCAGAATTCAAAGCCACATATGGTCCTCAGCACCACCAGGAGTATCCCTGGGCACAGAGCCAGGAGTAAATCCTGAGCACAGTTGGGTGTGGTCCCCCCAAAAAGAAGCATTTTAAATACCAGTAATGCTTAATAGGTAAAGGTAAAGGTAAAGGCCCTCCCGTTGATCGTCGATTTGCTCGAGCGGGCCCAGTAACATCTCCATTGGAGACTTTGTTGTTACTGTGTCTGTCATATCGAATACTCTCGGTAGCTTGCCGGGCTGTCCGAGAGGGGCGGAGGAATCGAACTCGGGTCGGCCATGTTGGCCGCTTATCAGACAATACTTACTACATTATCCCTTGTATCTTGTATACAACACCTAAGTTAGTCTAAGCAATAATATGAGGTAGATATGTTATCCCCATTTTCATTAGGAAAATGCATCCCACAAAGTTTAAATCTATCCTAAGCAAGAAGTTTGAGACTGATCTACTGCTTAAGCTTCTTTGCCCTTTTTGTTTTGCTTTTAATTAAAAAAAAAATCTTTTTATTTTGAAGTAACATAGTTCTACAAGTATCTAAATGTTTATCTGCTTGAGGGCTAGGATAGAGTGTCACCACAAAGGCTTCCAGTTAAATATCACACCTGTACCACTGCCAGTAAGACTCTCTCATCTAATATGGGTTAGTTTTCATTGGATATTATTGAGTTGTACTCCCTGGCCTTCACCAGACCACATCTGAGTGTGATCATCAGGTGGTAGGCTTTCTCCTTCTGCCTTATTTTTTTTTCCACATTCTCCTATCTGGTTCCATCCATGGGGTACCAAAAGAGCAAGTTTTTCCTCTGGACCCTCCGTTATATGCCAGTGAGTGACACAGCAGATTATTTTTTCCCCCTGTGGTCATCCAATGTAGTTTCATCAGGCTTGTCTGCCTCTGCTCACCAGAAACTGAACTGTGGTAGTAAAAATATTATTAATACATCAACCAGTCAACTTTTAGCATGCTCCTGGGTCTTGGGCTTTAAAATCTCATTTCTTCTCACCGCCCCCATAGGCTGTCCCCCAATTTTAGAAATGATCTGGGTTAACATTAAATGGATATTTCTGCAGGTTTGATATCAAGATTTGAGTTGATCATTTGTTTTCATTTATTCAGGGAAGAACTGCTAAAGCTTTGAGGTCTTTACAGTTTGCAAACCCAGGCAAGCAGACCGAATTTGCTCCAGAAACTGGTAAAAGAGAAAAAAGAAGACTTACCAAAAACACATCTGTAGGTTCAGACAGGTAGGTCGTATATGCTACTCATGGTGTAAGTTAATTTGTTCACTTGCTTTGCATCTGGTATACCCTGTCTTTCTCTTGCAGTTTGAAATTTCTGGGTAGCAATTTTGTAAAGTTGGATGATCTGGAAATACTAAGAACCTCATGTAAAATAAGGCATGCTGTTGGGTATAAAAATGATTTCTGGGCTGGAGAGATGGTGTTGCCTTACACAAAAAAGGTTTGACTGGCATCCCATATGGTTTTCTGAGCAGCTTTAGAAGTGATTTCTGAATGCAGGACCAGGAGTTAGCTCTGAGCATGGCCCAACATGCTTCCACCCCACTCAGACCCACCCAAAAGAAAAAAGTTTCTGAGTATCAAGCAAGTAAGTAAAATAGTACTTCTTAGGACTAAAATTATTTTTTGGAAAAGCATTGATATTATATAATTGATGTGTCCATAATATGAATGACATCTTGAAAGAAATCGAATTGTTTGAGAATACAAGATGACTTTTATATTTTTTTATTGTCTTGGTATGTTCAATAAAATGAATAAAAAGAACTAAATTCTTTAAAACATGACTTTTTAAATGAGGGGGGGTTTTTCTCCTAAAATGTAATTTGACAAGGAAATATTGGTAGAAATCATTTAGAATTATTTTCTAAATAAGCCATTTAATCTGTCTCTCAGAGTTTCCTGTTGAGTGTTTTAAATATGGCTAGGCAAGGCAAGATTTAGTAGAGTTCATAATTTACAAAACCCTGATTTGTTACAGTATGAAAACTAATTTGGAGGGCTGAACAACGGTACAGAGGGTAGGATACTTGCCTTGCATGCGGTTGACCCAAGTTCAATCCCTGGCATCTCGTATGGTCCCCTGAGCACTGCTGGGTATGACCCCAAAACAAAAACAAGCAAACAAACTAACAAAAAAACAATTCAGGTAGTGTATTCAACAAAAAATAATACTTCACAGAGTAAAACAGAGCCAGTAAAAATGTACTAACTGGTTTGATGGTTTGTTTGTTTTTGTTTTTGTTTTTGTTTTTGTTTTTTTAAGACAAAAATGGAAAATAGTTCCAACCAAGACTTATTTATTTTGGAACAAAATTCTTTTCCACTACCAAATTTCCTTTCCTTTTAAGTGAACCTGGAAAGGCATGTTGAGACTTTTTTGCATGCAACTCAACACTTTAGAGTTGACTATTTTTTCGTAAAGAAGCCACAGGTCTATTAAATGATGTGACGGTTTGACAAAACATTACCCTAAATTTAAGCCATTGTATCTTACATATTTTTGTTATCTCACTTCTGGTAGCCATGTCTCTTTGAGATGTCATGAGCCTTGTGTTTTCTTTCTTAGACAAGTGATACCAGCGAAGAGCAAGGTCTATGACAGCCAGGGGCTCCTGATTTTCAGCGGAATGGACCTCTGTGACTGCCTGGACGAAGACTGCCTGGGATGTTTTTACGCTTGTCCTGCCTGTGGGTCTACCAAATGTGGTGCCGAATGCCGCTGTGACCGCAAGTGGCTGTATGAGCAAATCGAGATTGAAGGAGGGGAAATCATTCATAATAAGCATGCTGGATAATTCGTGGTATCAGACAAAAGGATCTTTACAGGCTTTCGCTTATAAAATTCTGTCATTCTAAGATACGTTCTAACGTTGCTTGCCAAATAACAGAAATTTTAAAAAACCACCTCAGCCTGTTCTGACCTCACATTTAGAATGCTTTGGAATATTTTTTTTTTTCTGATTTTAAATTTAGGCAGATACTGTTCAGCAGTCAGTTTTAAGTCTGTCTGGGTCAGTGTAAACTAGTGGGTTATAGGAGGCAGCTCTTGATTCACAATTTCAATGACGATAATAAAGTACTGCAGTCCCCAAACAGAACAGTTCAAATCTCACTTATCACCATGTATAAATTCTGAGTAATTATAGGAAATACTTTCCTGTTTCTTCTTCAGTCCAAAATCCTCAGGAGTGATCCCCTAAGAAAATCATAATCTGAACCTAAGCTATGATGAAATGAGTGGTTTGAGTTGGTTTGGTTTGGGTGCCACACCACGCTGTGCTCAGGGCTCACTCCTGACTGGCTCCAGGCACCAATTCTGGTGCTGGGGATCAAACCGCAGCATCCCACTTGTATGCAAAGCAAGTGCCAGCCCCGACTGTACTATTTCTTCGACCACTGAAATGGGTTTTTAAATTATACCTTTACCTTCCCTATTTTGTTGTATTATAATAAAATAAATGACATCCTAATCCTGTGTAGTCTTTTTTGTTTTTTTATAACGATAAAAAAGTTTATACACAATATTTTAAATACGTCTGATTCTATACAGAATACTTTATAGATAACAATCTCTTCTAAACCTTTTCTGGCCTGGACTCAACTAATGAATATTTAACTGGATACGTTTTAGAACATTTAAGTTTGAAATGCATGCCTATAAAGTCTCCATCATAAATTTCTATGTTTTTATTTATAACAAGTTCTTTGATCTTAACTTTTTGGTATCGGTCTTAACTTTTTGGAGACCCAAGGTTTCTGAGAAGTTGGTGAAAGCAGTGAACTATCCAGAAAAATGTGTTTACAAATAAGGCTTGTTCAGAATATCTACACTTGTGTCGGATGCCTGGGTGGCAAGCTTCACGATCATGATCATCCTGTTGTTCGTCGATTGCCTTGAGCAGGCACCAGTAATGTCTCCTTCACCCAAGCCCTGAAATTTTTAAAAAGTACCATATTCAAGGCTCTTTCAGAGTTAGGAGAATGAGACCCATCATTGTTACTGGTATTTGGCATATTGGGCACAACACGGGGAGTTAGCCAGACTCTGCCTTGTGGGCAGGTTATATTCGGTAGCCTGCTGGGTTGTCCAAAGTAAGAATGAGATAATAGGATGTCGGGCGGCTGCGAATGGTAAGCTTACTTTTCTGGAAATCATTTCATTATTTTTAAGTGAGCATGGCCATTTAAACATAGTTTGGCCTGTTATTTAGTGTTGTAGATATGTTGTAGATAAGCTTATTGAGCAGTCTTAGACATTCAGTTTCTTTGTTTTGTTTTGTGTTGGGCCACACCCAGAAGTGCTCAGGGGTTACTGCTGGTTCTGCTCTGAGTCACAGGAATCACTCCTGGTAGTGCTTGGGCAGATTTACTTGATCCTGCCTGTGTTTTTGCTGACATCTGCTGGTATCTCCATGAAAGTAAACTGCATCTTAAATGTTTAATCTCTTCTAAGTTAAACTGTGAGCATTGGTAATTACAGTGAAGAGGAATCTTTTAAAAATAAAGTGAAATGACTTCACTTTTCAGCATTTTTGGGTCTTCCCCAACTGGAGGTTTTAGTGTATTTTTTAAGAATATGGGTGAGACAGGACCCAAAAGGAGAGAGAGAGAGAACAAAAGGGAATGCCCTGCCACAGAGGCAGGGTGGGATGGGGAGGATGGGGGGTAGGAGGAATGCTGGGACCCGTGGTGGTAGAGGATGGGCGCTGGTGGAGGGATGGGTACTTGATCATTGTATAACTGAAACCCAAGCACAAAAATTTGTAAGTCTGTAACTGTACCTCAGGGTGTTTCACTAATAAAAAAAAAAAAAGAATATGGGTGAGGATATGAAAATAGGAATGGGCACTTTTGACTGTCATTTTTTTTTGTCATGGTATCACAAGATTTATTACCAAGTTAGCAACAAGATACAGAAACTAGAGAAGACATACAGATTCCCTAATCCAAGAAACATGACTTCAGACTTGCTGTGCCTTTCCACCTGCTGTGTTCACCTGCTAGCAGCCTATCACAGCTAATCTCATGCGCCTCATGTGTCTCTCCTTACAGACCGAGCTTGGTCCTTCTCCAGTGTCTCCTCTGGAGTTGTACCTGATCTTGTTACCAGTTTTCATCCGAATCTGTTGAGGAATAGGCCGATTCTGCTTTTGTTTCTTGACCAGGAGCCGCTTGATCCTGAAAGTCTTGTGGGAAGACATGGTCAAGAGCCACGTTCACACTGCAACGATGGCGGAGGAAAGGGCTTGACTGTCATTTTTATCAAGGGGCTAGGAGGAAATTTTTTTTTAATTGCTGAAGATATAACTCAGTGGTAAATTTTCTCAACACCAAAAAATAAAATAAAATCCTAATATTTCATCTGAGTGTATAAGCCAAGGTGAGCAAGATAGATACTTTAGAAAGTTGCAACACTTACCTTGCAAGCATGATATCCTGATACTACATAGTCCTCAGCACCAAGAGGTGAGAACCCTAAAAAGAAAATTATAGAACTCCAGCTTGTAAATTATTTTTAATGACAGTTGTGCAGATAGGCTAATCTTACCAAAATGATTTCTAGAAGATAAAGATTTACCAAATAAAGAACCATTGCTCTGGTGCATTAGTATTACATACCATCATTTTAACCTGAAGTCATCTTAACTGCCTTTTAAATGGTACAGCTAAAATGCATGAATTTTTCCCTTTGGAACTGTGAGGGAGTAATTTATAAAATATTGGTTAGAAAATATAGTTTTGTTTTATTTGTTTGGTTTTGGGGTTTTTTTTCTCCTTTTTGGGTCACTCCCCGTGATGCACAGGGGTTACTCTTGGCTTTGCACTCAGGAATTACTCCTGGTGATGCTTGGGAGATCAGGCAGGATGCTGGGAATCAAACTCTGGTCAGCCGCGTGCAAGGCAAATGCCCTACCCACTGTACTATTGCTCCAACCCCCAGAAAATAAAGTTTTGATATTGAAGAGATCTCAATGTGTCGAGTGCATGCTATGCAGGTAGGAGGCCTGGGTTTTATCCCTGGCACCACATGCTTTCCCAAGTACTGCTGAGAGCAACATTTGAATACAGAGCTGGGTGGTTCTAAAACCAAAACAATTTTTAAAAATATTTCCTGGGTCACACCTAGTGATGCTCAGGACTTCCTCCTAACACTGCACTCAGAAATCACTCCTGGCAAGATTCAGGGGACCATAGGTGGTGCCGAGACTGAACCCAGATTTGGTATGTTAAAGACAGTCTACACACTTGACTCTCTTTGCAGCCCCTCCAAAATAAATACATTTGAAGAGAAACTGACTTGTTCTCATTTTTTTTCACTACAAGAACAGTTGTAATTTATTATAATTGCAATAATCTTCCAGGATTATGTTTCAAAAATAAACGGATTTATCAAAAGTCAAATGTTTTCAAATACTGCTAAAATGACCAAAGCCTTCCAACTGCAGCTTCACTTGTCCTACTTAAAATTTTGAGACTCCAGGTGTTCATTAAATATGGTGGGTGTGTGATACTTTTTAATTTCTTTAGCATAACGGGCAGGGTGTTTGCCTTGCATACAGCCAACCAGGGTTCAGTTCCTCCATCCCTCTCGGAGAGCTCAGCAAGCTACGAGAGTATCCTACCCGCACGGCAGAGCCAGGCAATTTTCCAATGGCATATTCCATATGCTAAAAACAGTAACAGGTCTCACAATGGAGACGTTACTGGTGCCCGCTCAAGCAAATCAATGAACAAGGAGAGGACAGTGCTACAGTACTTTTTTTTTTTTCACAAACATAAGTTTCTCTTTAAAACTAGACAGTGCCTTAAGGTTGTGGGATCATTTTATTTTCAAGTGAGAACTTAACCTAAAACTAAGCTTTAAGAGCAAGGACTTTAAAAGGAGTCACAATGCTTCTTTTGCAAACCACAGCACCCAAAAGAAGGGAAAGAACAAAAGGGAATGCCCTGCCACAGGGGTGGGGTGGGATGGGGGAGCATTGGAGGTGGGGAATGGGCACTGGTGGAGGGATGGGTACTCTATCATTGTATAACTGAAACCCAAACACAAAAATCTGTAAGTCTACAACTATACCTCATGGTGTTTCACTAATAAAAAAATAAAAAATAAAAGGAGTCAATTCAAAAATAATACAAGCAGGCCCAGTAACATCTCCATTATGAGACTTCTTGTTACTGTGTTTGGCATATTGAATACTCTTGGTAGCTTGCCAGGCTCTCCAAGAGGGGCGGAGGAATGGAACCTGGCTCGGCTGGGCTGGCTGCGTGCAAGGCAAACGCCCTACCGCTGTGCTATCACTCCAACTATGTATTAACATTGAACATAGTGATAAGTTAGATTATTGTTATAACTAAATTCTAGTAGCCCACATTATTTACATTTCAAGAAAATATTCACTTTTAGTTAACTTTTAAAAATAAATTCATTATTTGGTGGCATAATGTAACTGATAGTTGCAATACTTTGTTCTTTGTAAATAAAGCCTATTTGGTTAAATACAAATTCTATTTTGTTTGGGGGCCACACCTGGCAGTGCTCATGGCTTACTCCTAGCTCTGTGCTCAAGGATCACTCCTGCTTAGACTCAGGGTACAAAATGCTATTCTGGAGATTGGACTAGGGTTGCGTACATGCAAAACAACCTCTGTATTATCGCTCTGGCCCCACAGATTTTATTTTGGCATTAAAATTACTGAGGATTTCAGTGATAATGGCATCAATGAGGCTTTTTAAATATCAATCTTACATCCTTTGCAAAGGTTAGCCTTTTGGTTTGGTTGGGATATATCTCATTTTCAGTTCAGTTTAATATGGCAAAATCAGTAAAAGAATTTAACATGCCAATCTGAAATGATCTACACAAAATTCACTTGATTTTTTTTTTTTTGACATGGGGGAGAAGGGTTAAATGAGGTGTTTTTTTTTAATGCCAACAAGTTTCTGATCATTAATGAATCTCATTCATTAGTGAATGAGAGACCCTGCAGAGAAAATTTCTGCATAAAATATAAGCCTTCACATTCTAGAGGAAAGGGCAGCTCAGATAGAGAAGGGAGCACCAAATAAAGGGTGTTTGGAGGATCCTCCCAGGAGGGGAGATGCATGTCGAAAGTAGACTATGGACTGAACATGTTTGCCACTCAATGCCTCTTTTGCAGACCACAACACCCAAAAGGAGAGAGAGAACACAGGGGATTGTCCTGCCACAGAGGCAGGGGGGGATGGGGGAATGGGGGTGGGGGGGATATTATCCATGGTGGTGGAAAATGGGCACTGGTGAAGGGATGGGTACCTGATCATTGTATAATTGAAACCCAAGCACAAAAAATTGTAAATCTACAACTGTACCTCATGGTGTTTCACTAATAAAAAAATAAATTAAAAAAATATATATATAAGCCTTCAGTCTCACACACACCAATAGGACTGTGGT